TCCTCTTGGAGTCTTGTTCTCTTTGCCACTGGTGTTTCTGTTCCTCCCTCCTGGACTCTTATTCTTTTCACTTGATCTTCCCTTGGCACTTCCACTATATGTCTTACTCTGTCCAGATTCTTCAATCCTGCCCATGCTCCCCTTCTTGTCTTTTCTCTTATCTTGTCCCATACATTTATTATTCTCACCTGGCTCTCCCTCCAATAATTCAATGTCCTTCCGTAATTCTTCAGGTCTCTTAGTGCATTCTCCATTCCCGGGAATAAATTCCTCACATGTGATATCCAGACATGATCTTGTGTTGCTCCTTGTTGGACTGGTTGATCGATATAAGCTTGATAATAATTCATTATCCTCGTCATCCATTTTATCATCAGACGTACATTGTCTGCCGTACCTACTTGGAGTAGATTGTGTGCTTGCTGCAACAGAAACGAAATTGTCGTCTGGGGATCGTAATTTGCTGGATCGTGACTTGTCAATTGATCTGCAAATGTCTGTAATCTCAATGTCTGTTCTTGAGTCACATGGAATTTTCTCAGGTGTTCGAATGATCTTTTCTCTCTGTTGTTTGACATAGTATCCAATGTTCCTTGGGTCTGTGTGCCATGGTATACTTTCGCCTTCAGCGAGTTGTGCACATTCGTCCCAGTATCCATCTCTTGGGAAATTATATTCAGGCTCGTATTCTGGGTATTTCTTAAATAAACTTGTCCACAGGTCTTCTAGTATTTCACTACTTCTACAGTCACCTAGAAAGAAAAAAATTTTTTTTATATTACTTTATTCTCATAAGTTTACTTAACTTCCACTTCCTCACTTCCGATCCACAACTTTACTTAACTTCCACTTCCTCACTTCCGATCCACAACTTTACTTAACTTCCACTTCCTCGCTTCCTTACCTTTTTCAATTTCTTTGTTGATTATTTCTAGAAGTTCATGAAGTTCTTTCTCACTATCCATTGGTGATAACTTTGCACATGAGGCTTCTCAACACAAGGACTTATGCTATGATTCACCTTCCAGAAGAATTTTTATACTAATATACTTCCCCACCCTCCCTTCCTTATATACCCTTCCCAGGTAGGGTAAGAAAAGCTAACTTAGTTAGCGGATCCTAAGGATCCTTGTCTTACTTCGATGGTATTCGCACCACACGTTACGCCGTGAAGTTGGAGATGAAGAAGGCCGAGCAGGTGGAGGTGAAGCAGCTAGAGGAAAGACGTCATAGCGGTCTCGTGCACGGGGTGGACGGTCTGGGGTACGACGTCGAACCTGGTACTCATCCTCTTGGTGGTCATTTGGAGACTGGTGGCGGGTGTTGGAACTGCCATGCCGGATACCATACCTGGAGTTCCAAAGCTTCTGGGCGGTTTCTGCCAGCTGGATTGGCGAACAATCATCCTTGAGGACAAGGAGATCCCGCAGAGTGGACGGTAACCCAGCAAGGAAGACCCGCCTGATCAGCTCTGAAGGCTCTCCAACAGCTCCTCGGTGGTCCCGGTAGCCTTGAAAGACTGACGCCTCCACCTCAAGGAAGAAGTCCATTGGAGCCTGCCTCTCAGTCATGTCGTGATCATAAAGTACCTTGAAGAAATCAGAGGCAGTATATGTGCCCCTGAACTTCCGCCTCAGCTGCCGCTTAAACGTGTCCCAGTCCCGTATTCCATCGAAACTCTCGGAGTTGATGATTGTCTCCGCTCTGCCCCGACAGCTTGCTCTTGCAGCCCGGATGTATGTATCATCAGTTGCCGGTCTTACTAGGTTTTCAATGGCCCGGATGTAACTCTCGACTTCCTGGTTTCTCTTCAAGGGTTCACAGGCAGAAGTTTCCCCCTTGAAATGAGGTATGGAGTCGCGGGACACCAGATACGGGATGGATTCTCTGGATACCAGTGAAGGCTGGTGGTGTCGAAGGTGGTCTGGTTCAGGCTCCTCACCGTACCTTGTGCGTGGTGGTGTGGTCAGTCTTGGGGCTGGTTCAGGGAACGTCTGGTTAGCCTCGCGAAAGTGGGAAGAGGATTCAAGGTGTGCTGCCAAGTCGTCCCGTGCTGTTTCCACCCTTCTGTATGCTGGCGGTTGCTGTCCATCTAGATGCCTGTGAAAAAGAGCCCGCTCTTGCAGTTGTAGACGTCTCTCCCTCTCCTCCAGTTGTCGCTGCCATTCCTGGAGGTCTTCCCTGGTAGCTGCTCGGCGAATAGGGCTGGCAGGTCTAACTGCAGGTGGTGTGGTGGCTTGTCGAACATGTGGAGGTAGGATCTCAGTTGGCGGTTCCTCAGCCTGTGCTGCTGCGGGAACCTGGCTCCCATTACTGCGGGATACCACCGCCTCGGAAGGAGCAGTCCTTACCTGGAGTTGGTCCTCTAGTCGCTGTAGCCGGTCCTCACTCTTGCGAGAGATTTCCTCCATCCTACGGATCAGTTCGTCTCTGTTCTGGGCCACGACGTCCATCATCCTCTGCAACATTTCCTCCATCATCGTAACTTCACCCTCTACGGCTTGAACAGCGTCCTGTACTTGGGTACGTGAACTCTGCACCACTAACACTGGGAGGGATGCACGGTGGTCAGGTGAAGAGGTACGCGAGCTTGGCTGACTCGATGACCTTGTCACACGTACAGGTCTCCCACGTCCAGGCATAGTACGAAGCCTGGTAACAAGGGGAACAAAGTCCCGCACACAAAGGAGTCGTACGACTCAAACACAAAAACACAAAAGGAGCCAGAGATACTGGCTGACTCACAAAACGAAGTGTACAGTGATGCGTGTAACTGAGGCCAAATGTTGGCACATGAAAGATTAAAAATGACAAAACTTCCCGTAAACTGGGTAAAAACGAAAAAGACAAAGAACCAAGTGTACACAGGGGATAAAGTAAAATTAGCGGGGGTAAAAAGGATTAGAAAACAGTAAAATGACAGTGTCCCTATACCTAGCAAGAGCCACAAAGTAAAACTAACTGGTGAGCAGGCATTAGTAAAAACAGACAAGTAAAAATGCTGAAAGAGAAAAGCCTCGCTCAAAAATACTAAAATACTACAAACTCTGAAATAAAACAACACACAAAACATAAAACACAAGAAACGTGGCTCTTCTAAAACTACTAAAACAACTAACCTAACAGGAAAAAGCTAAATGCTGGACTTTAAAAATCTTCATATTAGTCAACGAGCAGAGAAACTCAAATACATTCCTGGTAGATCCCACTCGCTGCCACCAATCATGGGGGTACCTGTAAGGTTACGTGAGAGAGGAACCCAAAAGAGGCCACACGTGAGGCGGGAGGCTTCAGGCTTAGGGGCCAAGGAAAATGAGGGGCCCCGTTCGTTCCTCGAAAAAGGGGGTGAGGGGACCAAGCTGAAGGCTCAGAACCCACACGACCTCACAAGCAAAGCAATCCCCGGAGATGCAGGCCTACCAGGAGCGTGACCAATACGAAGATGCATAATAAAAAAAAATACAAAAATCTACAATGAACAAAAAGAACTGTGCAGAAGGCACCAAAGTAAAACAAGTTATGTAAAAGACAATTGCCAGAAGGGCTTAAAAGTGAACAAAAATACGCCAGAAGGGCTTAAAAGTGAATAAAAATACGCCAGAAGGGCTTAAGAAAAACTGCAAAGCATGCCAGAAGGGCTTAAAAACATTAAAAAGAACTAACATCTAAGATAAAACAAGTAAAAGGTAAAATAAGGGAAAAGTAAAAGTTCAAGTAAAAGACGAGTAAAAGGTATGAGCATGAATAAAAGTAATAAGTAAAAGGACAAGGTAAAAGTAAGTAAAATTCAGAGCAAGTAAAAAGTAAAAGTTAAAGGAGTACACATGGTTCACAGTAAGTAAAATAATAAAAAGCACGTCCAGCATAGATACACCTGGGCAAGTAAAAGGGGCAGTACAACCTTGTTTCAGCATCCACGGTGTAGAATCCAGACAGGTAAATCCAAAGGGTAGTCACAACACAGTCAGAGTATCCACTTCATTTATTTTACCAAAAACATGGGGTTACATTAACTCCCGCGGACGGCGGCGTAGCACATAAATATAATGAATCAATAAATAAGAATTGTTATAATAAAAGAAAATATACAAAAGATAAAACCAATAATAAAAACAATAAAACGTTAAAAAGAAATCATCAAAGACTTACAATATTGTTAAAAAAGTACGTAAAAGGATCTGCTGCGATTCATTAATAAAAAATCTTAAAATAAATAACCTTCTCTTGCAGTAAAAGAGAAATAAAAAGGATGCTTAAGTAAAAAGAAACAATCAAAAAATAAAAGTGAGTTTAAAACACAGGAGATAAAAAAAACGTATAAAAAGAAAGATGCAGTCGCAGCAGTTGGGGATGTTTGTTATCCGCACATCCGAATCTTTGTAACATTTGCATGGGTAACGCAGGAACTCAGTAAAGGTTTTATTTTAAAATGTACAGAAAGGTGAAAACAAACGTAAAATACATGTAAAAACATAATGGCCAGCGTAGTACAAAAATAAGAGTAAAAAGAGGCTGGCAGAGGGAAGTGGTCCGGCTGTGCTCGACTCGCCCTGTGGATTTCGGCAGGATGCTGGATAGGATAGGGATAGGATGGGAGCAGGAGAGGATAGGGTTAAAGGTAAAGGGTAGGACAAACGGGAGAAAGGGATGGAAAAGGGGGAAATTAGCGTAGAGATAGAAGGAAGTGAAAAAGCGAAGGAACAAGAAGAGAGTGCGAATAAGAGGGGTACGAGGGGAAATGCGGCAGGATACAGGGCAGGATAGGGATAGGATGGAGGGAGAATAGTATAGGGATAGAGATAAAAGGTAGAACAAGCAAGGAAAACGAGTAAAAGAGGGAGAAGTTATCGTGGAAGTAGAAAGAGGGGAAAAAAAGCGAGGGGACAGAAAGAGGGTGCGAATAAGGAGACGAGAGGGATAGAAGGATCGGGGCTAGGAAGGGGGGGGGTAGGTGATGGGATATGGGGGGGGGGGAGGAGGTTGAAAACCTCACATGTGTGTGTGTGTGTGTGTGTGCTGTGTGTGTGTATGTATTTGTATATGTACACACACAAATACACATTCCTCAACAGCCAATTAAATCTCCATCGCCAACAAACAAAAAAACACTTACGATAAAAAAAAAAAAAAAAAAAAAAAAAACAGTATCATGAAACGAAACAAAAACAACAAAATTCCGCCTCAAACAAACTAAAACCAAAAAAAAAAAAAAAAAAAAAAAAAAAAAAAAAACGAAACTTAACGAAAACAAAAACAAAACAGCTTCCGCCCCAACTAGACCGACGGCATCAGTAGGTGACCTTGACCGCCTGACCTGACCTGACCGACTCCTCGAGAGCAGAGGCGATGATAGACACACGGAGAGTGTTCTCACCGGACAGCATGTTGTCGTCCAGACCTGAATAGATAATAATAGATAATGATAGATGATGGGGAAGTGATAGATAATAATAGATAATGATAGATGATGGGGAAGTGATAGATAATGATAGATGATGGGGAAGTGATAGATAATAATAGATAATGATAGATGATGGGGAAGTGATAGATAATGATAGATGATGGGGAAGTGATAGATAATAATAGATAATGATAGATGATGGGGAAGTGATAGATAATAATAGATAATGATAGATGATGGGGAAGTGATAGATAATAATAGATAATGATAGATGATGGGGAAGTGATAGATAATAATAGATAATGATAGATAATGGGGAAGTGATGGATAATAAGGATAACAGGGAATAATGACTAATAATGATGAAGATATGCAATCATGTTGGATATTGATGACAATCTTAACGGATAAAAATGATAGGTAATAATAATAGGTGATAATAATCATAGACGATGATAAGAGAGAAGAGTAATAACAGATAATAATTTTATGATAATAATAATATCCCCGAATATTCCCCTTAAAAAAAAATCCTCCGCTAGGAACCAACCTTGCCTCCTCTTTTTTAAACTGAAAAAAATCTCCATGAAATATTAACAGATATGAAAATGCTAATAAAATAATGATAAAAAAAAACACCTTCTCGTCAAAAACAATAATAATGAATCAGTAAATAAACAAATCCCTAAAAAGCCCTTCCCCCCCCCCCAAGGAACGAACCTAAACTAACTAACCCTAAAAAAAAAAATCCAAAAAATAATCCTAAACAGCCCTTTCCCTCCCCCCAGTAACGAACCTAAACTAACCCTAAAAAATCCCTTAAAAAATCCCTAAACAGCCTTTTCCCTCCCCCAGGAACTAACCCTACCCCCCCCCAAAAAAAAAAAAATCCCTAAAAAAATCCCTATACAGCTCTCCCCCCCCCCCCCTCAAGAACAAACCTAAACTAACCCTAAAAAAAAATCCCCCCAAAAAATCCCTCCTAAACACCCCTTCTCCCCCCCCCCTCCAGAAACGCACCTTGAACGACGTCGCAGAAGTGGTCGAGTTCCCTCACGTACCCCTCGTAGTAACGCGAAGGGAAGGAATGCAGGATGGGCGGCTCCGTGTCCCCCGCCTCCGTCGCCCGCCGGATCTGGTACGGGCGTTCGTTGTGGGCGCTGAGCATGCCTTTCGGGCCGAATGCCTGTGTGGGCGAGAGGGAGGGTGGGAGTGAGTGGGTGGGAGGAGGGTGAGTGGATGTGTGGGCGAGGGAGGGAGGGAGTGAGTGGGGGGGGTAGGACAGAATGCCTGTGTGGGCGAGGGAGGGTGGGAGTGAGTGGGTGGGGGGTAGGGCCGAATGCCTGTGTGGGCGAGAGGGAGGGAGGGAGTGAGTGTGGGGGAGGGAGGGAGTGAGTGTGGGGGGTTGGGGGGTGGGTGGATGTGGGGGGTGTGGATGTGAGGGGGGGGGGTGGATGTGGATGCGTGGGTATGTTTTTTAGGCGGATGGGTAGGTGGGTGAAGGGAGGGTGGGTGAATGAATGAATGAGTGTGTGTGTGTGTGTCTAGGTTGGCGACGAAGTGAATAAATAAATTCATTCATAAATCAATCAATCAAAACAAAAAAACAACAACAATCCCTCGCTCACCCCCACCCCACCCCCCTAAACACCCACAAACAAATGAAAAATAAAAAAAATAAAAAAAAACACTCCGCACCGACACCGACTCGTCCCGCCGCGGCACTGACCTCGAGGCGCTGGTCGTACCCGTAGACGGCGTTGCGGCTGAGGTCCGTCGTGGAGAGGGCGCCGCTCGAGAACTTCATCGTGAAAGCCACCGTGTCGTGGTCGCCGATGTCACGCACTTCGGGAATGAAGGAGGAGGCGGCGGCGTACACCTCGACGGGGTATTCGCCCAAAACCCAGCAGATCAGGTCGATGTCGTGGACGGCGCAGTCGTGGAAGATTCCGCCTGTCGGGGGGGAGGAGGAGGAGGGAGATGAGTATAGGAGGGGGGTGGGGGAGCGGGGGAGGATTTGTGGGTGTGGGGTGGTGTGGATGGGTGTAAGTTTGTGTGGGTGTGTGTGGGTGGGAGAGAGAGAGAGAGAGAGAGAGAGA